TCATTGCGGCAGGGACCAAAATTGAAACGCGGTGTATTTTCTGCCAGCGGGAACCTTCGTAATATTTTCGGAAGGATTCCCTTGGCCGGGGTAACGAGAAACTCTCTCTCTCGTGAGAGAGAGAAATAACTCTCACTGTCGAGGAAAATTTATATACATTCATCCGTTCATTTATATTCGGGGGGAGGAGACATTTTTATTTTCCTTTCATTTTTATCAGGCGATCAGTTAATATTTAGGATTTTTCGCGATATGCGGATATCCAGGGGGCGACAATGGACAATGGCGACCTTTTGCGGGGAGCGAAGGCGAGGCGTCGCCATTGTGGCGAGTTAAAATTGAAGCGACACCGAATTTATACGGCCATACATTACTCGCGAAGCGGCCACCTGAAAAACTGTTTGCGGCAGTTAATTGCTCGGCGATAAAAGACTCCGTTGGCCGTTTATTGCCGAGCCCTGGCATTCGGTTGGACTCTACCTTTTGGCATCGTTTCGCCCCTCTACGGGGACTCCACCTTTGCCTCCTTTGCCGAGCCCTCCGAGTTTCGCAGAATACACCCGACTCGGTGTTTTACAAAGTTAAACAAACCGGCAATCTGTACTTTGCCCCCCGCCCTTGTACAGGGTGCTGCAGAACTGCAATATACCGCGAAAATGGGGAATTCCTCCTCGAAAGTGAGCGAATTTCCCTTCAAGAGCCTGTTAATTCCTTTTCGCGCTATGGTAACCGGGTTTGTTCATTTTTATTCACAGTTAACAAAATTTCACCGCGATTCGAGGGAAATTTAGATTTCCGGGAGGTGTTGCGGGCTCTGTTAAAGTGATTAATTCAATGCCCATCGGTAATTCTGTTTGAAAATCAATCAATTCCGGTTTAATTGGGTATTTCCTTATCGGCAGTAAATTTATCCCCGGTTAAGAGGAATTATTATATTTTACGGGGAATTTCTGGAAAGCTTGAAATCCTCTGGGGGGCGAGTCGGCTCGCCGATCGGCTGATTATTAGAATATCGATCACTAATAAGCGCGCCCTCGAGCCCTTATCCTTTTTCGTCCTCTCCCCTGTTTTCCCACCTTTTATTCCCTCCGAACACCCTCCTGAATTTCATTATCCATCGATCGCTATTTCCGAGCTTTTGCACCCCATTTATTTCCGCGGCCCTCTAAGCCCTTGCTCCATAAAGGTCCAATCAGGACTCTTCATCATCCCCTAGACAAATACCGCGGAAAATTGTCAATATGCACGCGAGGGTCGGTCAAATTGAAGCCTCCTTCGACTCGCCCTTGAATCGAAACCCTCTTTGAGTACTCAATTATCGGAACCACCCCTCGTAATGATTAAACTCCGGTAATTGGGGGGAATTATTTCCTGATACCGTCCAGTTTAATCCACCGTCTGCCTTCCTATCAATGTGTGCAGGGTTTAAATATCAACTGTTTAACCCATTAATTTCCGGGAATTCAAGACTGCGGGAGAAGCCAACCTCTTTCGCGCCCTTCCGCCCTCCTCCTCGCAGAATTTCTAGGGAAATATTGATTCTTAACGGGCGAACGTGCGCAGCTCGACGTACACGTAAGTTATCCGCCCTTTCTGATTGTACTTGTTGCACCTGAAGTGCATTCTGGCGTTTCTGGCAGATCGCCAAACCATTGACAAATGGTGTCGCACCGAAATACGAGCCCCGCTAATTCTCGACTTCCGGTTGGATCGGAATGAATCGCTAATCGAGTGGCTCCGATTCCGAATGCGCATATATATGTCCTCTGATGCACTTTTCGGAAAGCGGGATGTGGGGGAAAAAAAATTCAGTCACGAGAGGACCCTCGACAATGGGATGAAAACTACTTGATATCGATAACGAAAATGGTCATTTTGACAATACCGTGTACTTATATTCCATTTCTAAGTCCGCGTAATTCTACACCGAAAATGCAACGTCAGGATGCATACAGCACATCTCGAGAATTCAATGCACTCTCGATGCACCCACCGATTCCACCTTCCCCCTGGTAATGAGGATTAGGATGAGAAAACGTAACCGGATGCGGAAACTTCCCTTAATGAAGGAATTCGACCCCGGAATATCTGTTATAGGTGCATCCGATATTTCCGGAGCCCCGGTAACCTGCGGAAAATGCACTCGTACTTGGGTTTTAACATTCCGCCGACATCCCCAATTATACATCCACTAGAAACCGCAAATTGCCTCTTCAATGATTGTTGCTCGTTCTTCAATTAGAAAAGAAAAAAAAAGAAAAAAAGAAAAAAGAAAGAAATACGTCAAATATTGCGAAATGAAAAATGAATATCGCAGATTCCGTCGTCGAGTAAATCAAACCTTTTCCTTTTCTCTCTCTCTCAATTTTATTTCCCGCGTTACGATGCGACGTACCGAGGTCGAACAATGTGACTAATTATGATTTCTATGAATGAAATTCCCGATCGAGTGATCAAATGATCCTTCGGGATTCCGTTGCTGGCAGGTTGTCATTACGAGCTCGTATCCACCGACACGGATGACGGCGACCTTTGTTCGCGTTAATGACGAGGTACGATTAATTACAGATGGAACAATCGTTACAATCCTCCCGGATTTAATTGCGATCCTCTCGAGCCAGCCTGGCAGTTATTAAAGCCGATTTGTTTACGACTGTTTATCGCTATACTCGTAATTGGCGCATCCGTCATGATCACCTTGCCTTATTAAAGCGATTAATTTTCGGGAATGAGTTTTTCCGCTTTCCGGAAACCGATGGAAGCATTTTTAATTATACCGAACTTTGATTGTTCTTACGGGGAGGAGGGGCAGGGNGCTTTTAGTAGTGACGTCAAAAAATAATGTCATTGCAGCGGCTGTTTGCAGATTTTAATGCGTTGATGGGACTTCAAATGCTGCGCGCTGCATATTGATGCACCTGCAGCTGCGAGTGAATTATTCGAGGATTCTCCATATGGTCGTCGATCACTCGACGTCGCTTTACCGAATCGAATTGTCCTGCCGATTAATTTTACCCCATCTGGAAGAAGGAATAGAAATTAATTAATTAAAAGACGATAATCACGGAACATTTGCCTCCTACATTACTCTGAATAAATTTCCTCTCTATCCTCGTGGAGAGAATATGAAAGAAAAGAATCTATTACGAATTCTCTGAATTTTTTCCGATATTTCTCTATTTTTTTTTGTTTCTTTACATAAATGATTTCCGTTGTTTACAATTTTGGGCACATAAATGAAGAAGCAATCAGGAGGGGAGAATCGAATTTTTGGCGAAAACTGGAAATCGTCCGTTAATAAATAAATAAATAAATATAATATATATGTGATTTCTTAAAATTAGTGCATTCGAATGCAACTTTAGGTTGCAGGCGAAACGGCCAAAAGGCGGATCTTTGAGAATGTGCTTTTCTGAACCGAAACGATGGACTCTGTTAGATGCACGCATCGTCGCACGCGCGTCGATACGCTTTATGCAAATACCGTCCATGGGACGTATCGATTTATAGATGCACTCGCGCGTGCAACGCTCTCAATCGCATCGAGTCTTCTCGCGTGACTGCATACGAGTGCGCCGATATGTCGATGGATACATACACATCGATATCGATGCATCGAGGATGTCGCACACATTCCTGGAATTCTCAAAGAGACTCCCGCTTCCGTTGACCTACTGACCAGAAAATCATTTTCACGCATGTTTCTTATCCCCAACTATAACCGACTTGAGCACAGCCTATTTTTTAACGCATTCCCTCTCCACAGTACTGATTAAAAAAGAATACATCCTAGGTAAAAGCACTTGTTAAAGAATTTTTCGGGTTCAGTTGAAGAAACTGGAGCGCCGCGATGCCGCATTGCCCTGCAATTTAATTCCCCCTGCAGTATGCGGATGGTGCACTGCCAAAATGTCGAGGGACTTTCACGCCGACTTGAAGTTTTATAGGAAATTGTTCCCAAAAGCGACCCATGGGAAATTATTACCCAGCTCTGATATGAATCTCTGATTTGAATGATTAAAATGGAATTAAAGACATCGATGGGGTGCAGGGTGACTCTTGGGATTATAAATATAAAAGAATTGTTTCCTGCGGGGGGATATTTAATTAGGAGGTTTTTTTAGTTAACAGACGAGCAGGGTGAGTGGTAACTTTGGTTGCGGGTGATTTTTGGGTGGTGGTTCTGGCTGGGAGGAATTTTTCTTTAATTTTTTCCGCGAGTCTCGACGGGGTTTCAGGGAGGAGGGTCGGCGCAAGTGTTTGAACTTACCGCGCTGGGCGTGCAGGTTGCCAAGTCTGCCGACAGATGGCGAGGACTCGTTGCAAGTAAACCCGCAAGTGCTATGCAACATATCAGATCGGTATATAACCCCTCAGAGTGCATCTCCTCACGGTAGTCCGAGGCTTCTCAGGATGGTTTCGCCAATTTCGCTCCTGTTTTCGCTCCAATTTTCACCTTGATTTCGTCATTGACGCTGTGCGGAAGAAGAGGAAAGGACAAAAAACGAAAAAAACGGCCGGGTACTGTTTCTTCCAATCAAAGTTAATGATTCCACGATATCGCGAGGAAGTTTTAAAAGACCCTCCTTTCACCTGTAGAAGCGACAACGACTACTACTTTTGTACCCTCGTTTTATTTTACACTCCCCATAAATTACAACCAAACTCTGCCCTCTCATAAATACATCTCTAATTTTCCATAATTTCGGAAAATTGTAAAAAAAAATCCTAAGGATTATACTGTCGGAAATTCCACGCCGCTCTTAATATTCGCGGAGAATTTTCTCTGGAATTTTTCTTAATTCTTAATATTGCAGATTTCGTGCGGTTTGAGTTGGTTCCTAATTATAACTCGTTTCGCCTTGTTTCTACCGCGAGGAAATATTTTTATTTCACCCCTGCCGCGATATTTATCTCGCGAAGGCGCGAGCTCGAGAGGGCCTTTGAAAGATCCTCGATAACGAAGCCATCGGCGATGAGATCGAAAGCTTTTTTTCCAGCCAGTTCATCCAGGTGCGAACTGGAGCACCGAGTTTCCAGGTCCCGCCACCAACCAGCGCGTCATATTGATCGGCGGACCTTTAAAAATGGCGGCGGGTCTCGCGCACGTGCTCGCCCTGGCACTGGTCTGCAGTTTGCACCCAGGAGAAGCCTCGATGGCGAAGACCTTCACGTTCCCCGAATACCCATACAAGGAGACTACCAAAAATGTGAGTACACCGGAAGTCGGACGTTTCTTCGACAATCGTTAATCCAACATTTTGGACCTCATTCGCAAAGCAAGCTTGTGGCTTTGACATTTCCACGTATTCGTCATTTCGATTAACCACGTGATTACCTCGGTATATAATGAGGAATTTTATGATATAACGATTGACAATTGACCGTGACGGTGTTTGGAGAAATAACAAAAATTCTAGGGAATTTTCTATGGTGTTGCGGGAATTCTTTTAGGCGGGTTTGTTTCGTCGTTCTGGGGGAAAAAAATCGGCTTAGGATCGGTTCCCCGGGATCGGGTTTTAAGGGGTCGCCTTGATTTGTCTTTCTCGACGTGGAATAAGCTCTTCTAGCTTCGGAACTTGTGGAGACGCGGCCGCGAACTTGCAGAAGCGATGGAGGCACTTCCGGCGACTCCACGCGTTATTAAGCATCGTCATTAAATAGAGCCGAAAGCTCGAGTCCTCGACACCCGTGATAAGCGTTCGCGTCTTCCAGGAACTTCTCTTCAAGGAATTTGAGAAGGCTTGCGAGGAAAGCGGAGCTTGCGAGAATTTATCCCAACAAAGGAGCACGGTAGCGAAGACCCGGTGCATCCGGGAGTGCGTCTCGCCATCTTGCTACAAGGAGATTTATTTATTCGACCAGGTAATAAAAATTCCCTGATTAAATTTAAATATAACCATTACGTACGCCGGAGGTCTCCCTCGCTTTGGTGGAATATTTTCCACCCTGTCCATCGACCTTAATAGAATATAAATAACGAAGAACTTTTGGTCGGAGATTTTCCCCCTCTTTGTCGGCGATTCTTCTTCATACTTCACTCTTGATTTTCCCGCATTCGCGTCCACCTTTCTCCGACTTCCTCTCGTTCCGATTTCACGTCGCTATGGGTGCTCCATCACTCCAGCTTTTTCCCTCGACGGATTTGTTTATACTTTGTTCTCGCTTCCCCGTCGGGAATTTTCGCGATAATTCACGTAGCCTGTCCGTCGCGGGTAATGATACATTCGTCGACTTCTCACTGTTTCGGAATTTATTCCCAGCTGGAGGAGGGAGAAATTGACGTCAGGCTGAACTCTTTCAAAGGCTGCTTCATGCAACGCAATGGACGGCCCAGAAAGTGAAGAAAGGAAGAGGCACAAAGTACCATCTCATCGCACAAAAGCACCTAGAGTGTAACAATTTGAAAGTGATACTTCTACCAGTGATATTTTATAAAGTTAGGTAATAGTCGCATTTTCGAGGGCGCTCGGTTCGTATTGGAATCGAAAGGATTGAATAATATCGATTAACTTATTTTAAACTTTACAAGTAATGTCGTCGGATTTTTCTGGAATCTTAGAGCTGATTGTTCGAGGTCGTTTTCATTGTTGAGCTTAGTGAATTCTGAAGATGTTGAGCTGAAATCAGGGGAGAGCTGGTGTAAGGTGCAAATTTACGGGAGAATGTTTATTGACATTTTGTTTGCACTCACAGCTCGTTCTATTTCATCGAGGTTCTCCTTGCTCTGCGTGTCTCGTTCTCTTCCAGTCTTGAGAAAATTGTCCAACACGTCCAAAGTTTGTTCGAAGCGATCTCTGCAAAGTGCTCTGTTAGTGTCTGCACCTTCCCCGAAAATAACCAGATACTCGGGTAGATATTGTTTCCTGTACTTCATCCAAGTGACCAAAAACTTGGTTAGCCATTTGGTAATCGCCTTCAAGTTGACGGTCAACTGCACCAGGACATTGGTCCACGGTTGTTGAATCAAAATCTTCAATAAGCCAACATGGTTCTCGTGGCAATAGTCCAAGAAGCCACAAAAGCATCGATAAACGACGTCTTTTACAGTCATGTCGCTCTAGATTTGATATAAATTAAACATTATTAAATAAAAACTTTCTATTATCTGTAACTCAGTGAGGAGTTTCTTGTTACTACCTTTCCATGGATTGTGTGAAGTAAATTGTAATATATTCGGATTGTCTTCAGGGATTCTGGATCGCTGCTGAATTTGGCCAATGTTACGACCGGTTTTTCAATTTTATACGATAACAATGCAAATGTAAATCGCAGAACATGTATTGTTGGTTGCCTTTTAAGGTTCGAGCCCCACATGTGCTCGAGCAATTCCTCCATTTTTATGATAATCGGCTCATCGGCGCTCTGCAGATGTTAAACTACTGATTATTAATAACTTTATATATAAAATAAATTATAAAGCAGTTTTCGTTTTTACCTGGATGGAGAAACTATACTGGCAACAAAGAATAAAAGAGAGACACGTTAAGGAGGCAGCTGATAAATCTGAGTTTTCCTTATCAAATCCAAATATGCGCAATTTTATCAATAATTCAGGCTCCTTCACGTACATCAACATTATGGCTGTAAATTATTACAATTATACACTTTTCATTCGCATCTATAATTTTAATATATAATAGTTTACAGTTACCTTGCTCATCTTTAGTAATCGAGTGCACGAGTACGACGTAAGCATGACGAATGACTGTAATTATTAGCTGCACGTCCAAATTCTCTTTCATTATCATTTTGATAAGAAGCAAAGAAGTACGTCTTAGGGATGTATTGGAGGTAATCTTCGGTTTCGCGACGTTCGCAATTTCTAGCAAACCCATGACATTGTCATCTAAAATATGAAACATTAATATCGCGAGGTTTAACAAAATCGGCCGCAAATTTCTCAATCCAGCGATGATCATTTTTAATTTACCATTATTTGTATATGACGCGAGAACGAGAGGTACCATTTCCCAAATAGTCCCTGATATTTCCTCGGTGTATTTATCCTCTGCCAATAATATCTTCAAACCTTTCATTGCTGCCAACACTTGTTTGCGAGTACCCCGTCGTACAAGCTCCTGAAAATTACAGATTATTTTTCATTTTCTCTTCCCAGTGCGTTCTGTGCAAAGTGAGGCTATCATTGAGACAAAAAGGAACGCACCAATAGACAACGGCATTTTGCATTGACTTGATCTGCGGTTATTACAACTTCCACGTCGCCATCAAATTCTAGCCATAGTCCCACAAGTTCAATTCGTAATTCATCTGTTACTTCTCGGTCTTGGAAGCTGTAAAAAAGAAGACCTGGATGGTGCGTGTAGTACTGCTTCAAATCTACATTCAGCAACATTGTATTTAGATTTTCGGCCGCCTTGGCGTGTTCGTTCAATTCGAATGGAGCCACGTGGGACAATGTTGAAATCTGTAAGATAAAGGAAAATTAATTGATTGAGCATGTCGTGGGAAATCGAATATATGGAAAGGCGAGAAAAAGATATGTATACCGCAAAAAGGAACCACAGTGCTTTCAAAACCGGACCGGATTGTAGAATGTCTTCAGATGTTATCAATAGTCTTTTAATAAGTGGCTCGAGTTCAATCATGTCCAACCTAGAATATGGATAAATCTAATTCCAATAAATTGACTCCTGAACTAGTGGCGCCAATGGACTCAAAGTAAAAAAGGCGTTTTTTACGTTTGCGTTCCGAGGAAGTTGTAAGAAATTAAAATCAAAAGAACGTCAGCCGAGGTCCCAGGGAATTCTAAAATCGAAGACCATTCGTTTGGATTTCTCGGAAGGTCCGATAGCCCATTTAATATGAATCTCTGAAATTCGTTCGACACTTCCGGACCATCAATCGCACAGGACTGGAAATTCAGGACTGTTAAAATCCGGGAAATTAAAAGACAGGTTTCGTGCCTGAAATCTTCTCTGTAAACGTCGAGAAAAAAAAAATAAAATTGATTAACTTTCCTGAAGCGAGTTTCCAAGCATTTAACAATAAACGAAGGAGCTCTTACGTCGACGCTGTAATTGTTGCGTCCAGGAAATATTTCAGATAGCCATTTTCGATTAAACAAATGGACAGTTTCGTGGTCAGACAGTCTTCTAGCTGATACAGGTCATTTAAACATTTTACCATGTACTGCTGCAGCTTTTCGACCTTCCCAGCGACCGTCTGTAAAAAGTTATATTTTTAACGCATATCTAGAGTCATCTCGTTAATAAAATTCCCGAAGATGGAACGTTTACTTTTACAAATGGCACGAGTACTTCCGTTACGGCATCGTAAATGAGTTTCGTAAAAGTAGCCCTCTGTTCGGCGTTTCCAATATTTTCCAGCTCCGAAGACAGGATCTCGCGTTCCACGATGTCCTCTTCTACGGTGCAAAATCTACAAAGGAATAAAATTAGTGAGCATCTGGAACAAAATGACCTCTACACTAAAGAAAACAAGGGGGGAAAAAGAAGTCGATGTCTCACAAGGTCCCCGAAGCACAGATTTCGCAGATAATGCTAAGCTTTTGTATGGCGTTCGTCACGTTGTCGTTATCATTAAAGAAAGAGCACATCGTCTTCAAGGACTCCTCGAAAACGACGAGCAGAGAAGACAAAAAGCCTTTATTGTTGTCGATCCCAGGCACTGGGAAACTCATGATTAAACAAAGGATTTCAGCGCACGAGATTTTTACCAGCTCGTTGGTAGAATTCCAAGGAATCAGGCTCTTCAGGATCTCGAGGATCTGAACTCGATTGTCGATCCTGTTTTGGTAGCCATAAGCGTTTCTGGCGCTAAAAGAAAATTCACAAAAAGTCATCTAACAAGTGCAATAAATCCGGCCTTCGGTTAAAAATAACAATGGCATTTCAAAAAAATATAACAAAAGAAGGGCGAAAGTGTATTTCGCAGTTACCCCTTAAATACGAGAAAAAGTGTATAAAGGATAATCCCAATTTCCTCGAAATCTCCACGAGCTCTTTTGCAGCTTAAATGAGCGACTCTCAGGATCGACTCCATCACGTACATTGTCTGATGTCGGTGGCTGTAAAACTCGGCATAATCGACCAAGATTTCCAGAGTATTCAGGATTGATCTAGGAAATGCCCAGGGTAACGTTAAAGTGCGTTTCTAAAAGACGACAGTCTCCCTACCTCAGAGTTTGGCCTGACGAACTTTCGAGAACGTTACAAAGATTCGTTATCAGGTCCAGTTTGAAAAGATTCTGGACAACCAGAGGACGAATTTCTTCCGTGGCGTGTTTAAGGTCATTAATTATATACTGTACGGCTTCGTCCTAGGAAATAATGAACTCTAGGATCAGCTTAATTCGGTGATCCGTTTCTGAAGAATTTTCAAGCGCCATATACTCACCTGCTCGGAAGCATATCGAGACAGTAACAGTTGCTTGATTATTTCTGCCGATTCGAAGGCCGGAACTGCTTGCGGTGGGTTTAAATTTGCCATTTTCTAGCTTTCTTTCAAATATGTCGAAGATATCCACCTGAAACGGTATAGAATGTGCGGAGACTTACGGAACGATCGACAGGTCTGGAGAGCGAGTTTGGAAATTTGTAAAGATGGCCGCGCAACCCACGTGACCCGAACGGCGCGCCGTGATTGGTCGCAGCTCGATACCACGTGACTCCCGCGTAACGGTCACGTGACTGTCCCCACGTCGAAGGTACGCGTAATAAACGAAACCCCGAAATGAACAACTCAATGGTTACTGAATTTTATTTCAAACGCGTTATAAATTATAATACAAATACAATATCGTAATAGTAATATATTATAAATGTTAAACAATCCTGAGTGATTACTCTACATAATAGATAGCGTGTAATATTAAAATGTCGCCACTGGAACGAATGGTAATATAACATATTTATATATATAATATATAGAATACAATATAATATTAATATGTATAATATAAACAATCCACTGTGACGAAAGAGAGGTTAATCTCGGGCCGGGCAGCCGTCGAACGTTATAAACTATACAGTATTAACATTAAATGATTATAATCAGAGGAAATTTACAGAATGAAGAGACGTGGTGATGCGACAGCTCGCGCCGCGCGTGCAATTACTATACACAACAAGAGCTCCCCCTCGAAACAAGGATAAAATTATTCATCTCCGTTTAACCAACAAAAAAAAAAGAAGGGAAAAAGAACATACTTTCAACATTCCCAACTTCCGCGGAAAGGTGTGGGGTATAGGTGCAACCTCGCGCTAAAGAAGGGAGAATTAATTCCTCGCGGAGAACTCGCACGAGAGACGAACCCGTCTTTCCTCGAAATGAGAGAGTACCAAAGGAAGGATTACTAACAATTATGCAACGACACTTGTGTTCATGACTTGTGACATGCGTATACGGATGGTTCCCCCTCTGGCTAGCGTCTTAAAATGTAATTTGTTATCCGCAGTCCGTTAAATTTTTCGGTAGACCTCGGACTGACTCGGTGGCCACGGAGAAACCGCAACGGCAGAATAAATAGTACCCTAAAAAATAGCCACCTAGGACTCTCGTTACGAAAAATCGCCTTTATCAAAGCTCGGAGACCTAAACGACCTAAACGGCCGCGGTCGTGCCGCGTGTAAACGTGCTAGAAAAAACTCCGGGAAAAGTTCCATCGAAAATATCAGGGGCCAAAGTAAGAGCAAGCCTGCGCCCCTTCGCGTCGCCATTTTGAAAATGGCGCGAACAAGAACGGCCTCAAAAGCGACCTCGTGGTAACTCGGTCCTCGATCGACAAAGGGTCAAATAATCTCCAGATCCAGGATTACGATTCCAAAAGATCGACTCGCGGAATTAGCACCGTCCCCTCCCCGCGAGAATCAGTCGCGATATTGCACGATAGTGGTTTAATAAAAAGTACCTCGAGGTGTAGATAATCTACGTTCCGTAATCTACGTTCTTATTCCTAGTGTCCTAGCTACGTTAACTCGCTTCCAAGCCTGGTTTCCGGCCCGCGGTAATAATCGTGTATAATTCCTTTGGCAATAAGTTCGACGTTAAACGTTGCCCCGCTATCTCGGGCCGTGGGGCTCTTGATAAGGCCCAAAGGAACCGAGTTAGAGGAGCCGCCTTCCTCTTTCATCGCGGGTCCGCTTCTCCACGGCGGGCACGAGTCCGCCGGGATGGTGATTACACCGATTGCAGCAATTACAGCGATTACAGCAATAACGGCAATTACAGCTCGAAACGCTTCTTCCTCTCTGCGACCATGCCCACCGCAGGCAGTGGGGGGTGGAGTGGGTGATAGTATGTGGGCGTAGGTGTGGTTGGTAAGCTGCGACAACTTCTGCCGGACCACCTCACTGATGGAGACCTCATCAGCTCTGAAATCAACCGCGAGATCATTAACATCTGTCCTAAAGCAACCTAGACCTAAAAATAATGTAAAAAACGGATAAATATTAAAACTACATATTTTTCTTTTCTTTCTTTTTTCCAGCTGACCCACCTGCAACGGAGAGAGCTGCGGGTTCCGGGGTGAGGCGGGATGTGTGACGATTGTTGAGACGGAGGGCGTAAGCCTCCTGCTGTTGCTGCTTTTCACTTTGCTTGTTCTCCGGCCACCCGACGCCAGGACCGACGACTCGCATCGCTGCTGCGCCACCTTATCGTAGCCAAAATTTAGGAATCGAGTCGTTCGCTATCACATCATTTTTTAAACGGCCACGCAGAGAGGAAGAGGATCGCCACGCCGCCGGCATGCGCGACATATTGGATAAGACACCGAATAAAAATAATCCAAAGATCAGAAAATTGTCTCCAGCGCGGTAGAAGATTTCAAGCATCGATCAATAACATTTCTTATCACCATGGGACCGAGTTCTCTGATCTTGGAATATTTTTCCCCCTTCTTCGGGGTAGACCTTAAAAGAGAGTATCGTATAAATAGCGCAGTTTTTCAAATTGGTTAATATCTCTCAACCTGAGTTAGGCATTCCAGGCTACCGACCTCTGTAAATACGCGCATTCTCCAGAGAACATTTTCAATATAAAAGGTAGATTCAACGATCAAACTGACACGCTCTACGTATACTCGAATTGAATTTAATGATAAGAAATTTCAATAAGAAACAGACTGCACGTCCCAGTCTTTTCCTTCTCTCTCTCTCTCTCTAGAAATATCGCATTCTCTGGAGAAAGACCGCCACTAGAGGTCTCGACACCCACGCAAGCGTTATCATATTAATTAGGCACATTTATATTAATTAGGAGCTACGATAAGCGATCGAGTCGTGTTAGAGAACATTAGCTGGAAGCGTGGATACATGAGGAGAGACGATACAGCATCCCTAGTTAAAACCGAGATCAAGAGTCGCCTTTGACCAACATCACCAAGTCAGGAAATCGCCTACAAAGGAAAAAATTGCGAGACACCCTCGAATTCAAATTCAAAGGCGACTCCATCGAGAGGAAACGTGTTACAAGTAACGAGAGGCAGCTAGCTAACCCTTTCCAATCCTTACGCCTAAAGACTCTCGCAATTAATCAATAAGTCGCATCTCCAGACAAGATAAATCACAAAGTTGCGGAGATAAGACGAGCAAAGCCACTTCGGACTTGTCTGGAACCCCTCTAAGACGTCCAGCAAGAAGCACGTATATAATAATTGGTCACATAATTAATGACATTCTCCAGGGCTGTTAAAAAATTCAAACACAAAAATAAAGGGTTGACTTCAATCACCTCGGAAACCTAACTTCCATTAATTACTAACTAAAGTATCTTCCTCCGCGATGAAAACGCAGACACAGCCGCAAGCGAAGAATGGAAACGCTTGAGATTTTCGCTCCACCACCAAAGTAAATAAATAAAAAAAAAATACATGAAAAATTAAAAACGAGGGATAGACGTCTCTCTCCGAGTCCATACAAACGCCGATCGGTTCACCTCTCCTCTGTACCTTGATACTGGTGGGGGAGGCCGCTCCTGGGCCTGAGGCTGTCCCAGAGGGGAGAGGTAAGTCCATTCCGCTCGTGGGCCTTATGGCCTGGGAGGCGGGACTCGTTCCTATCATGGACCGCCGCGCTACTAGCGGGCCCAGCGGACAAGATGGCGCCTGAATAGGGCAACGAGATCGACCGGATGCGCTCGAGCCTGTAGGAAAAGGGGGCGGGCTTGTCCGCGGGGGGCACCTTCTGGTCGGCCTCGCTGCTGGGCCCGACGGGGTCCCTACTCGCCCCCGGGCCCGAATCGTCGGGGTCCGTGCGAGGGGGCGAGCAGGTCGACGGCGCCTCGGTCGCCTCGCGCGGGACATCGCCGAGCTGTCGGTGAAACAATGCTTTGAATGCGATCTGATCGCGTCGGCTCGCATTCGCACGTTATGGCTTTCTGGAGCTCCCGGAACGGAACTCGTAGAGAAACGTCGACCTCACCGGTGCACGGCTCGAGGCCGACTGCGGCGTTGCGTCACAGCCGCTCACCGAGCGCGCCGCGAGGAGGAGGAGTGGGGGTAGGCGCCCCCCACTCCGACGCGCAGGCGGCGCTGCCATTGGTCCACCGCGAGCCACGTGGTTTCGGTCACGTAGGTCCGTCGAGAGGCGAGGGTACTAGTCTCCGAGCTGGACCTAGACGCTCCAGTAGACCCGCAGCGGTCGCGAGGAAGGGTATCTGTGTTCTTGCTGGAGCGCCTAGGCCTGCTGGATGCACCGCTAATGGCTAAACTGGCGAGAAATTAATTCTGCAAAATGGATGAGCGTGTGACCTTGCAAAACGTGAGGAGCGGCTGGAAGGGTCCGCGAGAAGCCCAAAAACACCATAATATGCCACTGCAGCCGAGTTAATAATTTAGTAGTAAAATATTGCTGTTAACCACATCTACGTCGGTAAAAGGGGACGCGGGGCAAGCCCAGCTACCACTGGAGGTTTACCTTCAGCTGCTGCTGCAGCCGTTGGATCTCTTCCCTCAGCTCGACGATCTTGTTGTCCCTGCGTCGTAACAGCTGGATGGTGTCGTTGATCCCGCTGTCGTTCGTCTCCAGCACCAAATGCGCCCTCAGCTGTTTGTTCCTCGCGTCCAGCTGCATTATGTGCTGCTGAGCCTGAGTCACCTGTTTGGTCAATGCACCTACTTTTTCCTCCAACGCTGCGGACTCCACGCACTTCGAGGAATACTTGGCCGAGAGGGAGAGGATCTCTTGTTTGATCTCTTCCATTTCCTCTCTGCAAGTGGACGGAATTATTACAGTGTTTGGATTCGTACGCTATCGGATAGCGAGAGAGGACCGTACTCGTGTTCCTTATGAAGAGCGCCGATGTCCTCCCTGGCCTGCACCTGCTTGATGAACTCCTGCTTGAACTTGGCGATCTCCTTCTGGACCTCGTGCTCGTGGGCCTTCCTCATGGCGTCCAATGCGGCCAAAGTAGCCTGGGTCTCCTCCGAGAGTGCCTGCTCCTTCTCGATCCTCAGGTTCTCCAGCTCCTGCCGATGCTTCTCCTCCATCTCCGAGATGATGCGTCTGTGGGAGTTCTCCATGGCCAGCAGCCCCTTCTCGCAGAGAGCCCGGAGTTGCTTGATCTCTTCCTTGTACCTCTTCCGAGTCTCCGCATCCGTGTCCAGTTCGGTGCTCATCGACCTCTGATAGGCAGCTCTTAGCTCGTTGACGTGAGCCGAGTGCTCGGAGTCCATGGCGTTGAGCCTGTGCTCCAGTTTCCTGGCCCTCTCTCTCAGGGTCGCAGATTCCTGCTCATACTGCGACTGTAAAGAGTGCCTCTGGTTGTCCAATTCCCCTCTGATGTCCATTAAATCCCTTTCCTGACTCTCTCGCAGGTTCTGCAGCTGCTTCTTGTGCTCCACCGCCAGCCTCTGAATGGTCTCCTGCAGCTGATTGCACTGCTTGCAAGTCATGTTCTTCACGTACTCGCCTAGTCTCTTGATGTGGTCCCTGATCTCTGCACACTTCTCACAGACGTTGGACCAATCGTTCACAGAGATGTTGGACTTAGGCCAGGCCAGGTCGCCGTCGACCTTACTTGCCAGGGATTTTCCAAGCTCAACCAGATCCTCTTCCAGCAGGTTCAAGGTGTGGTCCATGCTCTTCAGCTGCTCCTTCGACCTGGACCTGCCGGATATCCTGTCCTCGCAGTCTTTGGAAAACTGTTGATATAGGTAAGCGTATTCGGCGTCCAGGACTGCGTTGCCGACGAATTCGGGGTCTTCGTCTACCAACCTTGAAATAATATTCTCGCTTTCTAGGAGATTGCTCACGAACGTATTACCTGGAAGGACCATGGGTTGCCTGGGTACTCCTTCTCGCAGGAGGTCTATCCTCGACTCTATCAGTGCCTTGTGGGCGATCACGTCGGCGTATTCCAAAAGAAGCTGCCTGGAGTCGTACTTAGAGTCCAGCTGGAACTTGCTCCTGATGGCTCTGCTCAGACAATCCTCGTAGGCGCTGGTCAGCTCGTGCACGGCGAGCTCCATTTCCTGGCGAAGTTTAGCTTGAGCCGCATCTGCCCAGGATTCCAGGCTAACCCTTTCGGAAGGCTCGAAACTCAGACACATGTCAGAGACGGTGGTCACGTTCTGCTCGTAGATTTGCCCATAGCGCATTATTACGTGAGAGATTTCCGATTGGACCAGTTCCTTGTTCACGGTCTCCTGGGCGAGGGCCCAGGCCTCGCGGATCCGCCTATCCTCCAGGAGTTTGCTACCCGAGGTGCCGATGTGCTTGTTCAGGTCTTCCTGGTCGGACATGCTGATGGTCTCGGCGACCAGGACCTCTACGAGCTGCCCGAGCCTCGTGTCCTTGTACCTCTGCATGATCGCGTTCACCTCCTTCTGCTTTTCCAGCAGGAAGTTCAAACTTTCGCTGCGAGCGGCTACCACCTCCTTCGAGGGGGGCGATTCCGTTGATGATGACGGGACTCCACCTACAAGTACTAACTTATTCGCTAAGACCCTAGTGAGATATTGAACGTAGTTTGCGTTTTGGTAGGTTTTCGGCTTGGTTCCTTGGACCTTAGACTTTAGGCTTGAAATAAGCTGACTAGTTTCCACCAACTCCCCCAGGACCGCGCTCCTGTCGGAGGCCTTGCCCACTGCGCACCTGAGCCTGCTCAAGATGACGGACTCGAAGGCTATCCTCTCCGCCAGTAGTCTCAGTCGCTCCTTGTCGTCCAGCTGACCGTTCCGCGAGAGCGTCTGCCTCCTCCTGGTCAGCTCGTCCATCTTGCTCCTGAGGATACCTTCTAGCCTGGACACGACGACTCCTGCCGACTCCATCGCTTGACTTCCGACTTGGCTGCGCTTGCACTCGAGGCAGGAGTCCAGGATGTCGTTTACCTCTCGTAGGCACTTCTCTGCCTTCTCCTCGGCCTGGGTCGAGCCCAGGCACTTCTCTAACCTACGCTTAGACCTAGCTACGACTCGCTCTAGCTTCCTCAGACGCGACAGGACCTCCAGCGAGACCTCGCTCGATGAAGTGCCAGCTTCGCTGCACTCGCTGGAGTCTTTCTCGGCGTCGCTCGCCATGCTCTCCGCGACGCTCGTAACTTTGGTCTCCAAGGTGCTCAGCCTGATGAGGACCTTCATCGGCTCGGAGCTGGTCGCACTGTCGAGCGACTTCCTGCGCAGCCTGGCTCGGTCCAGGCTCTTCACGGTCTCGCGCTTCCGCTCCTTCTTCGGATTCGGACTGGACTCTTTTGAAGTACCGGCAGAAGCCGGAGCGCTGATACTCTTCCCCCTTTCTATCGCGCAGATCTTGTTCTCCAGGTCTACCAGCTTGTCTTCCAGCTCCTGCGAGATCTGGAAGGACTCCCTGCCCTTCAGAGACAGCGACCTCCTCTTGTCGCGACTTTCGGCTTTCGTCAGCTTCTGCCGCAAGGTCCTTACTTGCTTCTCGCTCGCGGCCAACTTGTTCGTCAGGTCCTGGATCCTGGCTGCCATCAGCTGCACCTGGGCCTGGTTCGAGTCGCTCACCCTGATCGCTTCCTGCTTATGGGCGAAGATCTCCAACTCTAGGGCGTCCTGAGTAGCGTGGGCCTCACGCAGCTCCCGACGCATCGCCCGGATCTCCAGAATCGCCTTCTCGAATCGACCTCGCAGCTCGTCGAACTCCTCCACGATTCTGAAAAACACGATGGACGTTAGCGACGACTCTTTAGTCGTACGACCTGGACTCGTAAACTGAAGATTAATTACCGATCCTTGTCCAACGCGGTCAGGTCCAGGTCGAGGTCGATGTTGGTCAGGTCGCTGAGAGAATCGAAGCTCCTACCGCGTTCCCTCGACGTTGAGAGACTAGATTTCCCCTCGAGCTCCCTCACCCTTGCATAGAGTCGCTCGTTCTCCTCGATACCTGCAGAAATAACGTTGATTAATCCCTAACCAGCCACGTTGGGTTTATCACAATTCATTGATAGGATGATGTCGACGTACCTTGCGTCAACCTATCGCTTAGGGAGTTGGTCTCCCCCTGGAGGTGTTCAACGGTCCGGTGGCTAGAAGAGAGCTCGTTCGTTAGTGCTTCGCACCTCTGGTTGGTGTCCCTAAGGATGGCTTCGGCCTCCATCAGCTTGCACTCCAGCATCTCCTTGTCCTTGCTGTAGAGCTTCTTCACCTTGTCCAAGTCTTCCAGATCCTTGTTCCTCTGTTGCTCGGTCCTCTGGATGGTGTTTAACAACTCTTCCACCTGCTTCTCCCTGATGGTAGCTTCCGCTTTCTGCTGCCTCAACCTGGACAGCTCTTTTTCGGCATTGGCGATCTCGGTCCTGGCCGAGTTCAACTGCGACTTCAGGGTCTCCAGCTCGCTCTCCTGTCTCTCTATAATGACTAGCAAGGCGCTCGGGTGTGACTGGTTCTGGTCCAACTGGTCTCGCAGCATCGTCACCTGGCTCTCCAGGAGCTCCACTATCAGGGGGTTATCCGAGCTGTTTGGCAGGCAATTGTTCCCTGGTAAATGGCCGTTCTCGGTTTGCTCCTCGTCCTCGCCTAGTTCGCAGCAAGCCATCATCAGGTCTTCCGAGCGGACGCTATCCAAGGTGCTCCTTCGAGAGCTAGGGGGCGAACTGCGGCTCCTCTTGTACACCCTGGACCTGGAGCTGGACCTAGACCTAGCCTTCACCCTCGACAGGGCAGTCCTCGTCAGAGGGGGAGACGGAGGAAGCTCGGACCACTCGTGGTTTCCCCCATCGGACCAGTTGGACCCCTTCAGGGCCGGAGACCAATCCCCGTTCCTGGTCAATGGAGGCGAGACGGGCATCTCCGACCAGTCTCCGGACTCTCTCCGACCTCCTTCCGAAGCGGTTCTATACTCCTCGTCGGAAGAGAACAGAACCGACCTGGGGGTCAATGGAGTCGAGGGGACCACCGAATCTCGCTCCCTTTCAGTGACCGACCTGGAAGATGTCATGAATTAAATGATACACCTACCCACGACCCAAAATCCTGGGTTCTGTGTCCAGTAGAAAGGGTTCCTTACGTGGCTGGCAACTGTGAACTCATTTCCTGTTGACTTTCCTGGCAGACCCCATGGAGATCCACGTTGCTCCCGTTTTCAGGGTCCGGCAGGTTGGCCGCTCTTCTGATGGCCGACATCCAGCTGGACCTGATCCCAGCTGTCACAGCTGAGAGGACCGTTGTTCCTCGGTCGTCCCATGTCTGAAAGAACACGTTATGGATGACATGTCGCAATTATTGAACCCTAGGACCTGCGGTTACTTCCAGATGGAAGGTAGACGTCAACAATGTCGTTCTGACAAAGCGAGAAGGTGAACGACTCGGTCCTTGGTTATATTCTCAGGGTAAAAGGAAACGTCGAATGCTTCCTCTGCGACAAACGACAGCCAAGAGGCAATGACATCAGGCATTGCAAGTCCGCTGGCGTTGCGTGTGCTCGCGATTTACTCTTCCGTAAAATTGAATTAGGGATCCTCCCCTTCTTCGGCAACTCCGACGAGGGGACCTCTAATCCAATTCCGGGGGCAAAGCCCTTCCCAGTCGATGATGCAGCTCGCACACTTATTCCCGCTACCTTTGTTACTTATGTCAATTTATATTCCCAGAGGGGGCTCCTTGAATAAGAATCCTGGATTCCTTGAATAATTCCAGGTTGAATGCACCTCCTTTCCCTCTCTTTCTCGAGCAATGCTAAAGAAGACCTCGCGAAGTGCATCATCGTCGTGTTAGGATTTATGGGAAATTCCCGTGAAGAGATCAGTCAGTCTTAAGGCACCCTTTAAAAAGTCTTACAGACACTTTAATTAAATACTTAAAAACAGCATTTTTAAATCCTACAACTTTAACTGCATTATCGACCCGACGTTTCTTTCTTTAATTTGAATTTCCTTCGAGGGGGGCTTACTAATATTTCTAGATCTCAGATTTAGCGACGACTTCGGAAGGATATCGATGTACAGTCATTGCATACGTACCACGGTCTGAAATCCATAGTTCCTGGCCACCTGGATGGGGGTAACCGCGGTCACGGTGTTCAGATCGATTACACCATCCATAATGCCCTTGTCCTCGGCACCGGGGTCTCGGTAGTACATCAGACCACATCCTCGAAGAACGAACCAGTGCTTGTTCCACTCCTAGGTCAGTATCGGATGTTTAATATATCCCTATGAATCACCTGGCCGACACGTCGCCGGTTCCGTTACCGCACGCGGAAGCGCTTCGTTACCTTGTTGAGTCCTTGCTTCATCAGCCATCCCTTCTTGATGTTCAACAGGTCCTCGGCGGGGAGATCGACTCGTAATTCCGAGGTCGGAGAGTATCTGGTACCGGAAATGTCCAGGCCGCAGCCATCGGGATCGCCTCTGATCTGGAAAACCGAAGTCCAAGAGTCGATCGTCCATTCTTCAAGTGGAAATGATAATAATTTAATCTGCATCGATAAAAGTCGCTATTTCATGCATTTAATTATCTTAGGTATCGACGTAACTTTCGGGTAATCTCATTTTTTTACGCTTTTATATTTGAATTTTATTTACATCTCATGTATATAAAGCTGGAATCGCCACTTTAGCACAATTCAATAAAATTTGTTGCTAAATTTATTGCTAATTTATTGCTATTTTATTGCACAAGAAACAAATTATTTGCTCTTATACTTTTCCGAAAAATGGTGGCGACGTCAGCTTTATATAAAGCTAGCACTGCGACAATAAAAAACAATTATTAAGTAAATGTTCATAGATGAATTATATACCAGAATTTATTGCTAATTAATTTCTCGCAGGAAAACCGAATTTCAATTTTTTTTGCTCACCCTTAAAGGGATGAAACGCCACCCCTAGGAATGATCGCAGGACAGACACATGAAATACATGGAAGAATCGAACTATTTGTTCACGTAGGAATTAATCGCTAATTAATGAAGGTTTGAAAATTGTACTTTTACGAAGATATTGGTTCTTCTCGGAACAATTAATTAGCAATTAATTCCCACGTGAAGAAATAGTTCGATTCTTCCATGTATTTCATGTTTCTGTCCTGCGATCAGCACTAGGGGTGGCGATTCACCCCTTTAGGGGCGAGCAAAAAAATGGAAATTTGGTTTTTCTGAGAGCAAGTAATTAGCAATAAATTCTGGTAGATAATTCATCGAATAACATTTACTTAATAATTTTTTCTTATTGTGGCAGTGCTAGCTTTATACAAAGCTGACATCGCCACCATTTTTCGGAAATGTATAAGAGCAAAAAATTTGTTACTTGAGCAATAAAATAGCAATAAATAAGCAATAAATGCTGCAACAAATTTTATTGAATTGTGCTAAAGTGGCAATTCCAGCTTTATATATATTTACATCCCGCGCGATGGCTACGCCTCGATTTTTTTTAACCATTTATTTTGGAGCTTGTATCAGAGGATAGGTGATAAGATTCGGGTAAATTGAGTCTAATTACCAGTTTATCCTGGTGAGCTGCGTTCACGGCATCCACTACGTCCCTCGTGGGCTCGGAGGTCCTGGGCTTGTTCCTTCGCATCCTGGGCTGCGTCAAGGATGCTGCGATGTCCCTCAGCTTCCCCTCTCGTTCCCTCTCATGCTCCAGGAGGATCCTTCGACAGGCGTCATCGTCTGAAAGGGGTCCAAAATTAAGAGAGTAATCTCTACCGGGGGACTCTTCGTTTTCATAACATGTGGATTTCTCAGCAGGAAAAAGAAAAAAGATCCTCGACGAGAGGCATCGATCGAAAGGTCGAGCTATTGCAGGGTTCTCTCGGTACTCCATACGAAGAGGATGACGACTGCAATTAGGCGTTAGAAAGTTCCTGACGTTATGGGGACCGAAGTTACGAGCGGAGTCGATGAAGAGGCATTAACCGTTAGTTGTTAAGAGTGGTGATCGCCTTGTGAAATGCGGCGTGGCAAATGAACTTCGACAGAGTCCATTTTGACGGTATAAAAAAATTGTAAAATATCCCCAGTCGATCAAAAGCGAGGAGAATAAGGTAAGGCTTGAGAAGAGGTTGCTGGGGAAACTGTTGGAGAAATTTGTATGTCACGAATTTCTGACTTCGGATGGTTCGGATGGTACCGGGCGAGCGCCTCTACCTTGAAGAGGTGAGAATCTCCCCATGGTTCGCCATGGTGGGAACGAAACTCCGTATAGGAGCCTTCGTGTTCCAGAGGTCGTATCGTATCTCGATTAAGGTATCGCTTTCATGACTTATCGCCAATTGAAGACCACCTCGGAACGGTAAGTCACGGAAGGAACGCCTGGCGTCTCCGGAAAAATCCCCAGCTTTAATTGGAAGCCCAACATTGGAAGCAGTAGGAATTAAAGCTCGATAATTCCTAATTAATCACGGCTGACCACGTCGCTACGTGAGAACGAGACTTGAGCCTTCTAACGTGCGACATTCTAGGCTGGTGCGAGAATAAACCCTGCTGAAGAAGTACCTCAACGACTCGTGGCGCCGACTAGAAGAAACGGGCTTACGGAACCACCAGATAAAGACACGAAAAAACGTGTCCCACAAAAGTTGTGGAGCACCCTCCTAGGTCGGTTTTTTGTCTGAAACATTTTTCCATATCGTGCATCGATGAAGAGAGAATCGAGAATTTTTGCAGGGGTATCCGCCACCAGTGGCATCGGCGAGCAGTTGAATAAAGGCCCGGTCCGAATCTCGCCGAAAATCTCCAGGATGCAAATGCGACCACTCTTCTCAGCAGGGGCCACAACTCAGGGAGAGATTCATTTCCCGACGAGCGGCTCTTAATTAACAGCGCAACAATTCAGGACCCTAACGAGAACGATACCCTGGGGCCTCGGCAAACCCCACCTAACAAGAGGTTAACCCTGGCGCGATCTTTTATTAATTAAACTCCCAGCAATTACCCGCCCGTGAATAATTCTAGTGCCGGGTCCGAATTTCCAGGTGATCCTCCCATTCTACCCTCCACCCCTTCGGTTCCAACTTGGACCAGTTGATACCGAAATTATTAATTCCCCTCGGCATAAGGTGCCATTATTTCTCAATTACCCGGCAGATATTCGCACTACTAACGAGCGGTGTCTCGTAACCCCCGGCGAACCCCGCGAAAGCGCGAGCCTCCCCTCGTTAAATCCTCGGTAATTAATAACCCAGGTAATTGCAGGAGCGTACCGAGTTTCTCGTTAGAACCGACCGTTGTCACGGTGGTATTACGTTCCCCCTGCTGCTGGCCCATCCTTCTTCTGGCCTTGTCCTCGGCCCTCAGCTTGTCCCTCGTAGGTGGGGAAGCACTGCTCGCAGGTTGGTCCCTATAGGTCCTGCTTTCGTTGGGCACCATGGGGGGCTTTTCGGACCCCACCGTCGGCGACGTGGAAATCCCCGAACTCGGGGACACCCCAGAAATCGTCGAATTCGACACCGTAGGAGGACTGGAGAACCCATGGGTGCCGTTCTCCAAAGGTGTACTCCTGGTCCCCGAGAGCCCGTTCTTCAGGGTACCATTTTCTGCGGTGCACACGAGACCCATCGTGCCGTTCAGACTCGTCGAGAGGAGGGTGTTCGTCGTCGAGGTGGAAGACAATGTCGTTGGCGTGCTCGTTGCCGGGAAATTTGGAGAACATAGGTCCGGGGCACTCGATTCCGTGATCCAGGATGTACTTGTACTTCGGGGCTCTGATCGGCAACTGTTGAAGCGAGGTCGAGGTGGGTTCGGTGTGTTGCCTGGATTAGAGAAAAATTGGAAAAATTAATAAAATTGAAGCGTAGATTTTTTTTTCGACATTTTGAGGTCGAACTACAGACGGAAGTCTCGCTGCATCCGGCTATGCATCGTCATTTTTCTCCACAAATTTTGTTTATGCATTTCTCTCGTGCTTGAGACCACGTGTCTATCTCATGGTGGTAAAAATATGTACGTTGCCGAAGGTTAAAGGAGTACGACGTCATTTGATTTCAAGTTTCTCCTCGCGTTTAGGAGTGACGCAGTCATTAACATGACCGGATGGGAAACGAGAGGTATGTCTACCGAGTCATGTCAATTGTCATTCTGTACGCGAGTTTGCTCGCCGCTTCCATGAAATCGAAACAGTCCGTGTTAATAGACACCTCGATCACGTATGAACGCTTTCCTCTTACTTTCAGCGTGACACGTGAAATAAATTCCACCGTCTCGTTTTTCCTTACTCCATATACTTTTGTATATTTCCTACCGAATCTCACATGTTATAAATAAATTAAATCACTCACTTCGAATGGTAGGCGTGACTTGTAGGATCGTGGTCTGTCCTCCAGGAAAGGTGGCGTTCCTCTTGTGGCGACCCTGTGGAGAAAGAAAAAAATGAAAAAAATTACCAATGGCCGGAAAAATCGGCTGAAGAAAAATGGTGAAATTTAAGGGAAGGGCGGCGGTTAATACGACAATTTGGAAAATTTGAGGAAACTAAAGCGTGCGATTAAAATTCGCATTTCCATGTCGACTCGGTAGAAAGCCCGGCTCGGCAGTCGTTCGAGTAATCCCGGTAATGGCACCCCGGGTAAAGTAAATTCCGCAATTCCCGCAATTGCTACCGCAGGTCTCATAATCGACTGTGCGGACCTATTAGAAAGTATGCACGAAGCGGTCCGCGGGTAAGTTTTACGATCTTTCGATTCGAAATCGGAGGCCGGTGCGCGAAACGATAATGACATCGATAATCCCGGGACTTTGCGGTGCCGTCCGAGATGCATAAATCCCGGGGAAACGGCAGCCGGGATAACAATGGCACAATTAGAATTTTCTCCGAGTCTTTCCGCGATTCCGCGATCCGATCGCAGCCCAAATCCCGGCTTCGTGCGAGCCGAGTCAATGCTTTAGTCATTTGGTATATTGAATAGATAAAATATGGACCAATAACGCTCGGGTGAATTCCGCGATTTTCGCAATTGCTACCGCGAGTCGTGACCGATTCAGAGTCCATTAGAAAGTATGTATTTTATGCTCGGAAAGCGAACTTTATGATCTCTTGATTTGAGGAGGGAGGTTGCACCCGAGCGCCGGCGATGGCATCGATCCTGGAATTTATTCCTTCCATTCGGGGTGCATTATGCACGGGAACCCATAACCGACTCGAATTGCATAATGGCACATTCTTCGCAGGATTCAATTCCGCCGACTTTTCGCGCCGATCTCGTGGCTAGCAATTTTTTCGCCGCAGACATATTTACCCAAGACCTAAATTTTCTAAATCTCCGAAATATATTAAATCCTTATTCCATAATCACGACAGGATACCACAGATTTACCGCGATATTAATAATTTCGATTAAATAGTGATCCGCCATTCGGTTGACACTCATTTATCAGAACACGTGAAATTAGAGAATTTGAGACTCGGGTAATCTATCGAATTTCGTTAATAATTATTATATTCCCAGAATTTCTCTGAGAAGGGGGAAATTAATCGAGGAAATCTATTTGGGAAGGATCGAGGTCCTCGTCAGGAATTCTCTATATCGGGAATATAAGAATTTCTCTGATAAGGAGGGACATAAATCGGGGAAATCCATCTGGCAAGGATCAAGATCCTCTTAAGGAATTCTCTATGTCGGGAATATAAGAAATTCTTTAATAAGGGGAAAAATAAATCTGGAAAATCTATCTGGCAAGGATCGAGGTGCTCGTCAGGAATTTTCTATATCGGGAATATAAGAATTTCTCTGATAAGAAGGGACATAAATCGGGGAAATCCATCTGACAAGGGTCGAGATCCTCTTAAGGAATTCTCTATGTCGGGAATATAAGAATTTCTCCAATAATGAGGAAAATAAATCGGGGAAATCTATCTGGCAAGGATCGAGGTCCTCGTCAGGAATTTTCTATATCGGGAATATAAGAATTTCTCTGATAAGAAGGGTCATAAATCGGGGAAATCCATGTGACAAGGGTCGAGATCCTCTTCAGGAATTCTCTATGTCGGGAATATAAAAATTTCTCTAATAAGAGGGAAATAAATCCGGGAAATTCATCTGGCAAGGATCGAGATCCTCTTAAGGAATTCTCTATGTCGGGAATATAAGAATTTCTCTGATAAAGGGGAAAATAAATCGGGAAAATCCATCTGACAAGGGTCGAGATCCTCTTAAGGAATTCTCTATGTCGGGAATATAAGAATTTCTCTAATGATGGGGAAAATAAATCGGGGAAATCTATCTGGCAAGGATCGAGGTCCTCGTCAGGAATTTTCTATGTCGGGAATATAAGAATTTCCCTGATTAAGGGGAAAATAAATCGGGAAAATCCATGTGACAAGGATCGAGATCCTCATCAGGAACTCTCTATGTCGGAAATATAAGAATTTCTCTGATAAGAAGGGAAATAAATCGGGGAAATCCATCTGGCAAGAATCGAGGTCCTCGTTAGGAATTCTCCACATCGAGTGCTCGGAAAGTGAGCCTTACGATCTTCGGATTTGAGGCAGGAGGTCGCAGCCTCCGACGATGGCATCGATCCCGGGATTTATCCTCGCTCCTCTCGGTGCATAATTCACGGGGAATTGCGGGGACAGACGGAGACAACAATGGTAACCGTCTGTAATAGCGGCAACCGGGATTTATTGCTCTCGTCGAGCGAGTCGCCCTGCGTTGGCCGAAGAGTCGTTGCGAAACGCCGGCATAGATCGTGGATCTCGGATCTCTCGGAGAGAGAAGAACTTGAAGCCTCTCTTTTCGAGTCGGCCTCGGAAAAGAAAGACGAGGAAATCGTGAAATTCCTAGGGGATTTTCTCGTCCGCAATTAGTATTTCGTGGAATCCTCCGAGGCACTCACTCACCTCCAAGAGCCCGATTAAATCGAGATGTGAAAGATAACGTATCACTTTTCCTGATTAATGAAAAAAAAATAAAATAAAAATAAAAATAAAATAAATAGAATAGTCTATCCTTCGATTTAATTATGTAATTTCAAAAAATATGGGAAATAAATTTATACACCATATCGTTAATCTCGTCGATTAAATTATTCCATTTATTCTGTTTTATTAATCAGGAAAAGGGAGAATGTACCTTATTTTTTTCTGATTATGGAATAAATGCGGAATAATTGCAATGATTTAATGATATGATTTTCAAAAAGTGTGGAAAATAAATTTACACGACATCCAGCGAGGAGAGCCGACGTGTGGTAATTCACGTCGCGGTGGAGGCGCTGAAATGCTATAAATAATATTCTAATGACCGATGGGTAGGCGAATATTAAGGCGACGCGAGAATTAAGTGGTTACAAGTATCGGCGGATTGATTTATTATTTATCGGAGGCTCTTGCAAGCTATAGAAGCTGCAAATGTGGTCGGTACATGTCGGAGGGTTTGCAGTAGCCTGGAGAAATCAATCTTGCCCCGGTTAAGTAACTGCGGTGCGAACGAACCGAGTTGTCGTTGGAGGATAAAGAAAAAATGGGGTAAAAAAAGGGAGGAAAAACGAGGAGTTACCCTTTGTTGTTTTTGCGACGAGTTATTCGCAGTCGCGGGTTTATTAGAGAGAAGGTGGAGTGACGAGTCGTTTCTCCGGGATTTATTGCGCAATCGTAAGAAAATAATTTCCAACGGACCGAATTGAACGTACCCAGGAGTTCTGAAAATCGGAATAATTTTTATAACAATAGGGTTAACGACGTGTATTAAAAAAAAAAAATTACGAAAATTAAGTAGACCTTGCGACTCGATCCGGCTCGCAATGAATAATTTAGTACAGCTATATGTTAAATAACGCCGCGGAATTTAAGTGGCACTAAGGCCGAGCAGTAAATGTTAATTTCGCAATTAACAAGTGCCGAGCAACAATACCGACGGAGTGTAACATCCTCGCAAAATCCACAACGATCAATCATCCTCGCCCGGCAGGCTTTTATTAGCGCTAACTCTTCTTTTTACGTGACTTCCATTTACGCGGAAAGGAAAGAAAAAGGTGTCCACGTATTTACAATCTTACAAAACGTAACTGCACCGGCAACAGGAAGGAATAAATCTGGCACGTCAGTTGAGCAAGACCGATCCGAAGGTCTCGTCGGTAGCAATTGTCAAGCGGACTAAATGAAAAAAAAAAAAAAGAGGGAAAGAAAAGAAAAAGAAACGAAAGAAATGGCCTCCCCCGTCGTAATTCCACCGATAATTACGGTCCAGGATTTTACAATCGACGTGAAATCGCAAAAGGCGACGAGTTACGCATTATGCGCCTCGCCATTAACCGAGGAAAGAAAAGATAGTAATATTTTCTGTAGGAACAATCGATAGGAATCGGTCTTGGACGTCGAAGAGGTCCATCGCGAGAAGAAGGACGAGTCCTGGAAAGACGGGCGAGCGAAAGGGGGGGAAAGCTTCCAGGAAAAAAAGGACAATTTCCTGCACGTTCACACTTAAGTTTCGCCTTGGCCTCTTAATGCAAACGAACGGTTTAACCTGCAGCTGCAGCATAACGAGGTGTTTCCAATTACCGATCTTACTTGCGTAATGCGTGGATACATAGCTGACACCTACCCAACGCCGGAAACCGATTCGAAAGTTCACCTTTTCAGGATCAACACCTCGTCCTGAGCAGGGTTTATCGAGCAAGGACATCGGCCGCTTTCACGGTCGAATCCCTAGGACAGGATCGCGATAACGGCGAAGAAAATTCCGGGTATCTCGCCCTCTCCTAACGTTATTAATATTTTTTTTTTATGACGCGGTATTTTTTATAACGCGGTGTATTCTTTATAGCGAGGTATTTTTATAACGCGCCAAGGACAACCTGAACGTTAAAGCGCACCTCACCGGAGTCCTTTATCAAGTCCAAGCTTTAATTTATTTTTCACACGCATGGGGATACCTCGTGGGCGTTTTTAACGTGGGTATAAATAGAATTGATAGATCGAAGGAGGGGGTTATTCTTAACGCGGACAACGAGAGTACCGAGAGGCCTGCTAACGATAATTGCGAGCATTACGGCCATTCTCGCCTACGTACGAGTCATCAGGGAAATGCCCGCGCATCAGGAGAGCGCGGAATAGAGCGCGCTTTTTATAAGGCCGTTTTCCATTAGACCCGCTAATGGCGCCAAATAGAGCAAGAGATTTTCTCACACGATCTCCTCCAGGCTAGTTATAGTTATCTCGATTGATAAGCGCGTGGGGATGGGCCTTTGCCATCATTCTTTTTTATCGCACGGTCTCGTCCAGGGCGAATTATACGCGCCTGCCGAGGAACTGCATTACCTCCCCCCGCGAGGTATAAACGCGATGCACTTCCCATAAATCTTTATAAAAAGCCCTCGCGATTATCATAGCCTACATGATTAGAGAATACATTTTTGATATCCTATTTGAGGTGGGAAAAGAAAAACTGCGAAGCAGGATCGAAAGATACCGAGCAATCTCGCGAGGTGATGGGATTCACGAACGGCGCGTTTCATCCCTTTTTTGACGCGGTGAGGTTGCACGTCGATAACGATCTTCCCGGCGATAACGGAGATACGAGGGGATCCCTTAACGGCAATGCCGAGTGTTATGCTGTGCTCTCGCCCACGTAAGGGTCATCAGGGAAATCCTGAGGCGTTTCTCGAGCACGGCATCGCGTCAATGGACGGCCATGCTGCACTCCCTAGAACTTTTTTTTCTTCCCCCAGGTCTCGCTGATGGAGCCGTGCAAGCGGGACCCCGAAGAGGACCCTGAAGAGCGTCCTGAGAGGAAACGTTCGATTTTCTTGCCCGATCTACGCCTACTATACTTCGGTCTTATGCGAGGCGTGTGTCGTTGCGGACGCACTTGCTTATTCTTACTAGGCGCGTCTATGTTTCCAAGGGTGTACGCACATATGTGGGACCGATTACGCACTCGCATTCGCCTCCACTGTGTGTCGGTACGTGAACGAGTTAACTCATTCGCGTGAGCATGAACTAGTCGAGGATTACAAGAGCGTCGACCGCGATCCTGCGAAACGAGGCTCTCGCTTTCGCGGCTCGGAATACCGCGAACGGCTCCGATGTTTGCGATTCCTGGTAACGAGACCTGCTAATTAAAGGCCGCGCCGAGGAGAATTCAATCGGCAAAGAAATCGGCCCCTTCGCCGCGATCTCGCCGACACTTTCCGGTCGGTGATAAGCCGAGCGCGCCGGATATCATGGGGATTTTTAGAAAATTGCCGGAATCGTGGCCAATTAAATATTTAAAGCATTCTTGGGACTATTAGAGGTCTTACCGAGAAGGATTTTAATTCTCGATCTGACTGAATTTTAGATAATTAACCCTTTTAGTGCCGGGCGAAAAAGAGGTGCTTATGCGAAGATAACCGGCTGAATTTTACGATTTTACTAGGATTTGGAAAAAGGCTCATAAAAGCCAAACGAAAAGTAATATTTACATAATTCAAAAAGCAGGGTATTAAGGACAAAATAGAGAATAAAACGGTGACGCTAATTTTTCTATATTCATTGAAAATTACATAATTAACAAAGGTATAAGTGATAAAAAAAAAGAAAAATTGAGTTCTCTGTTTTAAAACGTAATTGCACATAGGAAAAGTCATCTTTTTATCATAAATTTATATAGACCGTTTATTGCAAAGTATATACTTTAAATTTCTAATATATTTTTTAACAAAATAAGTAATATTACACAAGAAACATGAAAAATAACTCCAAGGCACATGGTAGGCGCCGGACGGATTATCTCATCCGAAACAAGTAATTGTTATAGATTATAGATTGTTATAGGTGTTGTTGTATTGTTATTTTAATTCTCTCGTAATGAAATTAGACTATTTATAACGTATTATAAATTTATTTTGAGATAGAGATCTCTCGCAAAGCGAATAGTAAAGCGCTACAAGGTGCGGGCCGATATATCGGCCTCCGGCACTAAAAGGGTTAGATATTTAAGCTATTTTCAATGATATCCTCCAATGGACGATTTAAGAGGAATTGACTAAAAATTCACTGAAATTTCCCTGAAAATTCTCAAAAAATTCCTCTCGGTTGAGATGTGTAAATTGATTGTTTTTTTTTTTTATAATTCACCTGGGTTATCGGATATAGCGCGCCGGATATCATGGGGATTTTTAGAAAATCGCTGGAATCGTGGCCAATTGAATATTTAAAGCAGTCTCGGGACTATTAGTGGTCTTACTAACAATAAGAAGGATTTTAAATCTCGATCTGCCTGAATTTTAGACAATTAAATATTTAAGCTATTTTCAATTATATCCCCCCAGTGGACGATTTAAGAGGGATTGACTAAAAATTCACTGAAATTTCCCTGAAAATTCTCAAACAATTCTTTTTGGTTGGGATGTGTAAATTGATTGTTCTTTTTTTATTCGCCTGGGTTATCGGGTCTTAAATGAACACTTTCCTGCCGCGATTGGGATTTTTCTCCGAGGGTAATTGGCGCGTTTCCTGCATGGAAATGCGGATAATCGACAGGCACTTCGCAGGTGGAGTTGCAGGAGGGAAGTGGAACGTTTACGTGCAGGCCCCAGCTGTATTTCCAACTTCCGTGCATTCGCTAACTCGCATATGCACTCGCGTGTCTCGAGGAATTCCGCGAATCCCACGCTATTTTATCCGCCCCTCGAGTGCGCCAACCTCTAGGGAAACGTCTTAAGTTTTGCGAAGCGTACGCCGCTTGAAAGCGAAACGTCCTTCCAGAAGTGCATCCCAGAGTGCACTCGAAGAGTCTCCTCCGAAGGATCTTAACCTTGGAGATAAATTGAAAAATCCGGCGATCGAAATAAAAATCAGGGGAAGGGAAACGTGTAAAATTGAGAAACAGGGATTTCCCTCGGCATAATTTCCCTCCTAGGAATTTTTAAATAAAATCGAAATAAAAATCAGGGGAAGGGAAACGTGTAAAATTGAGAAACAGGGATTTCCCTCGGCATAATTTCCCTCCTAGGACTTTTTAAATATTCTTTTTCAAGGGATCTCGAATGCGCCTTCCAGCCGCAGTAGAAAACTCAAATTCGAGGCAGACGCGAGTGGAATACGAAACGGCATGCAAATGAAGCCTGCCTGGTACCAGGGAAAGTTTTTCCTCGAGATTCATTCAAAATCGAGAACGTTCCCCGGAAGGGGCCTCGAAACTCTCGCCTCGGCCTGGAATACTTCTTTCGCCGAGACGAAAGTTCCCTTGAAGAATTCTCTAGCGACAGAAGTGGAAACGGTTCGACTCGGGACGGACCGATTTGAGGAAGAGGTTTTCAGGCCTCGTTCTAATAATTCAAAGTCTCTATTTTGCGTCGAAAAAAATATTTCCAACATTGTGGAAGGTCTTTAGAATTTACCGAGCATTTATCTTTGCGCGATCGGGGGAAATTCTGGAAAGTGGACAATCGGTAATGGCTGGGCGAGAGACAAATGGCGGTGTCGGTAATGCACAATTCCTTCGGTTACGGCTCGGAGGCTGTAATAATCAACTAGCCGACTGCCGATAGATGTCTTTTCGTTGCAACAACCCGAAGACATGTATAATTGTCGATAATGGAGCGTGAAAAAATCGGGGCTCCTTTCGAGGCCTGTTTAGCCAGGAATCCTGGACGGCAACAATTTTGCGAGTGGCCGAGAGGAATGCACCGTAATGAGAGGCACAGTCGGCTGGCGAATGCAAAAGAGGACGTATCGACGGTAAACATTAGTGTAACGACCGGTAGGCATCCGCAATCGTCGATAATCTCGCCGAGGAAGAGAATATCCACGCGCGTTTCCGTGGAAAATTCTCCGGCACGTACTTAATGCAATTCTCGGGCGAAATCTCGTATAAGGGGGATAAAATACCTTGTTAACCAAAAAAGAAAAATCCCCAAACTAAATCCTGACAGCCTTCCGAAGCGTTTGGGCCTATCTAACAAAAGGTAGAAAAGACTAAACAAAAAATTGATAATCACCGATGATGATATTTAAGAATTCTCTGGAGAATTACCGGTAAAAAATACCGGCATGCATTTTTGTAAACGACAAGTGTAATCGGTAAAATCATTCCCGACTAACGCGAAGGGAATGATTTATTTATAGGGATATTTCCAGAGAGGATAAGAAATAATTTCGTTGAAAATGGAAACGCGCGAAGATGGGGAAAGCGTCGAGGAGGGAATAATTCTCGGTGAGCCTCAAGTTGCGATGGAAAAAAATAAATTATTTACATATATTTGCAGAGTCCCCTGGTAAGAGATTGTTGCTAGAATTGCAGGTGTGCAGTTCTGCGAGGGAAAGTGTCGATAATCCCGGCAGGGAGGAATAATTCTTGGTCAATATGAAGGCGCAGTGCCTCCCAGCCAAGCCTGGGTTCTCCTGGGGTACTTCCCTCTCGTCGATGGGGCCCTGATAAGGCCCTTTCTTAATGGAAGGAAAAAGACAGGATTCTCGTGGCCGATCGAAAAACATTCCTCGCCGATCGAGGATCCCTCAAGTCGTAACTAACGCTTTCCTATCGTCGTAAATAAGTCCTGTAAAATCATCCCGTGGGGAGGGTCCCATACGCGTCGGAGGAGAAAGGGCCCCTCGGGCCCCGATCGTCGCGTATGAAAGGCCCTGTACCCGCAGTCGTAAAGGTAACACGCGATTCACATGTTAATTCCCCCGGGGGTCTGGGAGAGCTCAAAAGAGACGAGTTCCAGGAGGACGACCCTCGCGGGGACGCGCTCGTCAAAGTCGAGGGACGTCGAGCGTTCTCCAAAATGGGCCCCTCTTCGGGGCCCTAAACGGTTTTCTTTCACCTCGCCACCAAGCGACATATATCCACATATATCCACGTATATCCCGGGTCCCGCTTTACAGCTCTCGTCAAAATCGCGGATTTTTATGCCCAGCCGTTCCCGAAGAGCGTTCTCCAAGATGGCCGCGCGACGCGTTCTCCAAAAGCGGCGGTGGCGGCGGCGAAGAACCTCGACTTCCTTTCGACCCTTTCGTCCCAAACGCGAGGAATGCAATCCCATAAATTGTTCCCGTCTATTTCGGTTGGCACTGAGAAATCATTTTCGTGCGCGGCATGAGGTCTGCAAAAACAAAATGGCCGCCGCACCGATGGAGAACGCGGTACCAGCGTCCATTACCATTCCCTGCCGTTTGTAAATCGCCATTCTTTCGCGATTACGCGTGCATACTTGCGCGGGAAGGAAGGAGAAATAAGTGGTACCGCGTTCGAGGCAAATAATTAAGAGGGGAGCGCCGGAAATGACGGCGATTTCGCGAGGACGCCCCTCGTTAACGAAGAGCCCACCGACCTTGTTGCGGGAGTAGACCTGAAGGACGTCGGCCCACCATCGTGTTTCTTCCCTGCAGGTGCCTTTAACGAAAGTCACCCCCTCGGGAGAGGTTACAGCAAGACTGTAAGGATGTCCAGTGACGTCTTCCGCGGCTGCGACCTCCAGCACCCTCGTCATGTCTATCCTGGCCTGCGGCACCGTTTCCGGCTGAAAAATACAAGATGGACGACTCCTTAATTTCCTCCGAATTATCTTCCACTGAAAAAAAAAAATTGTAAATCCGAAAAATTCTGGGGAAAACTTCCATTTCTGGGAGCAATCGAGAGGCTGGGAGCTATCCCTTCTTCGTGGAATACTTTCAATCTCTTAGAATCGTCCCAATTAATTTAATAAGGGAGGGAAATGGCGGCTCGATCGAAAGCCTCTCGAGAGCGAGAGTCGCCGAGGGATCGGAACGAGGATCGAGACATCGCGGTAGCATTCTTCGAGGGTGTTTCGTAACGCCTAGGTTTCTCTCTCGAGATAAAGGATCTTCTTCGTGGTATAGACCCGGTTCGCGGATTTTTCATCTCCCGCGTTTCTCCGGCTGTATCCGCGTTCGCACGCCTATAAACGCGGGGTCGCTTATAAACGAGAAACCCTGAGGAGATGCACGAAAAAACGATGCACCTTTAGAAAATTAATAATAAAAAATTGCAGGGTTAACGCGTCGTTAATCACTTTTAGCTCGCAATTCTTGACCTTCTTTTGGCTGTGTCAAGATCAAAAGCGAATTAAATCTGACTGTGACTGTCGTTAAATTAATTCTTAATTCTTGGAGATCAATTTTGGCCGCCTAACCCTCGAATTAGGATCGCATTAGGTCGGTGGAACGATAATTTCGCGTTTCTCTGATAGGGCATTCATACGTCGAGTCAGAGTCGTAAAGTACGGGTTCGTATATAACTCGGTACGCACCGAGTATGATCGAAAAATCGGGGAGATATATCGATGGTCGTTACTCCTCGTACTCATGATAGGAACGTTTCCGCACGCCGCACTTCCGGATAGATCCCGGGACCATTGCGAGGCCAACCAATGGTCGATCTAAAACGAATATCCGCGGCCGTGTTTAAATCTTTTCGAACGTCTCCTGGGAGACTTACGAATAGGTAAGAGAACACGTGCGAACACCTACGACCAAGACGAACGAGAGCTTATGGTTCTCCATGCAAGTGGGCGACATCCGGCCAAGTCGAAATGCACACCATAGAGGAAGTCCCTGACAAAGCGGATGAAGAAACTCGAAGAAAATCAACGGATTAAAATAAAGAACCCAATTTCTTCGAGCCACCTCCCGTGAGAAACCCCCCAAAAGTATATCCACAGATCTACTAGGATTTTAAAAATGATTATCAAATGCCTTTTAATTATTTTCAATTTATTCTTCGCCAGTGGAATGATACGCGTCATTATTGATTTCAGAACTCCGTATCTTGGGGTGTATGTTCTTATCGGGGGATATTTTATGAGACTGACACACGATGCTTAGAAAATTTTTCTTTCATCTAATTTTCTAGTGAAATTGCGTAGATGCACCGAAGTGCAAGAGCGGGGTCTGTAATCAGCTAAATAAGTCCGTGAAATCGATTCAACTTGAGTCAACAAAGTGCACAAATCCGCAGGTGCATATCCACGGTACATTGAATACGCATTCAATCCATTCTCCATTTACCATAAAAGACATTGTCACGTCGCGCGACAAGGGAAAGAGGTGCATTAGAAGGAAAGCGTGTCCGCCGGTGCACCGCATGCAGTAATGGACGTCCGGAATCGAAACGCTTTGCCCGGCACTTAACCCATTCACCCATTTTCTCGGTATTTTCTAATCGACGTGATTTCCCGTTAAAAAAAGAAAGAAATACGGCGCAGCAGTTGGGCTAAAGAAAAAAAAAAAAAGAAAATGGCGGAGACATTAAAAGGACGATTTCGCAAGCGCTCTGTCAGCCCAGTTAGAGAGGCGTCATGGCACTTGAGGCAGATTTCGATATCGAGAAAAGCCGATTTGTCGGCTCCTTAATTTAACGTTCACCTGCTTGACTCCCGGAGCTGATAATACGATTATGACGCGATAATACCGTACGACCGCGAGGCCGACTTTCGAGAGTGTTCAACCTACTCACCTACTGAACGTCCTGCGTGAACCTTGTAATGGACTCCATAATCGACCGAAAAAAATTTAATTGATTTTCGCGAGTGCCTAGACAGCTCACCCAACGAGTACCAATACACTAGAAGGCTGATAATAACTTAAATCAGCCTGTAGCTAAGAAAAAAAAAAGAAGAAAAAGAAAGCAAATTGATTTTCCGGGAGGCTGAACCCACTCTCAAGGATCATAAAATAATTCATAACGGAACGTAATGAATTTTATAATCCACTCTCCGTGTCCAGATGAATGTGCAATGAGCCTCCAAATAATGGAGGATTCAATTGCAATCTTTTTCCCGTACATGGTTTTAGCCACTTTATATCGATAAAAGTCGAAGCGACCCGTTTCTCGGGAGTTCAGGGCGTTTTTACTGGCAGTTAAATCCGACTTGCGGGCTGCTTAATTGAACATGTACTCTCGTAATTATCAGGCTTGATAATGAGCGATTACGAGGCGGCACACCATCGCACAGCCGTATGACCGACATCCGTGTGTGCTCAACCTACTCACCTACTGAAGGACCGGGACGGGACGTAACGTACGAGTCGCTAAGTCGCTCGAGAAACGTTCCTGTGTGCTCGGGCCCATTCACCTACTTAATGCTCTTTTCCTCGTTAAGTACCCGCGCGTAAACGTTGCGCAAATCCGGCGCGGCATCCGCCGATTCGGCACAATTTCCTCGAGGGGCGCCGTTTAACGAACGCCGACTGACTCGCTTTCCCGACTCGTCCATAGAAAGTCGTGCGACCGCCAAGAAAATCGAGAAACCCCCCGACCGTGAAACCGCAAGATGTGGAACATGGAAGGCAAGATTAGAAATCAAGGCGAATTTTTCCCCCAAGAAGTAAAGAAGTTCCGCGCGAGAAAAATGTCCTAGATGTGTTTTTCATTTTTCTTTATATTTTTCTCAATTTATTTACGGCTTTCCAATTCATTCCATCCGGTCAATGTTACATGAGGAGGGATTTTTTTTTTTCACAGAATATTTCGATGCAACCAATGCAGTTCTCTAGGATGCAGATAGGAGTAATATCTGTCGGGTATTTTTCATAAACAAGGCATGTGTGTTTGATGACTCCCTCGGAGCATACACTGTCTTATTTAAGTATGGCGTCGTTATCATAACCGAATCGCCTTGGCAAAACCAAACTGCACCTACGTTTACTCCGCGCGGTAGCGCAGTTAACTTTACCGCACTTTATGGTGATTGGGGCGATAATTTTCCCCGTAAGTACAACAGCGCCCTGCCGTCACTGTATCGCTATATTTTTGCCGACAATTAAGGGCGGTTTCTTGCACGTATGTTTCCCCTCTTCCCCATTCCTGATCTCCACTGAGAGAGAAGAGAACTCCCTGCGATGACTGCAACTCTGAATAGAAATTCCAAGAAACGCGACTCCCCTGCAAAGTCCACATTAAAAATACACATCAAGATATGCAAAGCGTATTTCCAATTAAGATATTAATTTTAGCAAAGTGGAAAATCCTCTTCAGCAAGTCCATCTAGGTGCATTCATCATTTTTTGTCCCTCGTAAGGAAAAGACCTCTTCTTGCGCGAGTGCTCCCTTTTGGGCGATGCTTAGTCCGCACGCGGGTATTCCGCCGCGTTACCGACGCACCTCTCGTACGTATACGGGAAAATTGCGTAAGGCCCCTCTGGTACTTTGTCTAGTGACATTACACCGAGAGATAGGCACGTAGCGAGCGTTTGGTGAACGTCGCCCATCGCGATCCATCTTGTGTCCCGGACATTATATATGACGCAACGCCGGTATACGAGCGTTTTTGTTAGCGCGACGTGTTTATTAGCAAGAACTCGCTCCGAGGATAACGTCACGGCCGGAGATCAACGGTCCAGGTCCAGAGTCTGAGGGATATCTAGCTATCGCTTCGCCGAAATCGTCTTCCGAGAAGACGCCGCGTCTTTTCCTGAAAATGGCGGCGCGGAAGAAAAAATTGTAAATTTCGTAACTTGATTATCAGAATTTAATTCCTAACCCCCGAAACTCCCGGTTGAATCAAGGGGCGGATCTCGTGAAGATTAACGTTTGAATCTGGAGAGTTGGATGGAAGTTGGGATTATTTGGATGAAACTCGGAATTATTCGGATAAGACTCGGAATTATTTAGATAAAACTCGGAGGAATCCAGGCCTCGTGTTCGAGGAGTCGAGCTGCCTCTCTCGAGTTCCTAACAGGTAATGGCAGAACAATTCTAATTAGGAGCGGTGTACAGGTCTACCCACACAGTGACTTCCTACATAACATAACCTACAGGTATGTTTTCTCACCGACAGGAGTGATCTGTATCAACTTTCACCTGTTACGAGTTGGGCTTTTACGAGCGTCGGAGGTGCTCTCGATGGGAGTATAATATGGAAGCCTGGGTCGTGCTCGCGTGGTTCACGGGCACCCATGGTGGATGCTGCGAAGATCAAGCGGGTCCTTCGACCCAGTTGCTCGTGGAAGAGGTCCAACGAGATTGTTAAAAATTTAGCGTCGATCGTTCCTGACGATAGGACGAATAAAGATGGGTTTTTGGTGCGACGATGTGGCGATGATCCGGTCTAGAGACGCTCTAAGGTGGTCCAGGGACACCAACGTCGGTGAATATCGGGTACCACGGGGAGCCGCATGCTCGGGATGCTGTCGGAAGGACTTTCAATCCGAGATAAGATCCTCAAGAGCAATGTAAAACACGAGATGTCACGCCTCGGTGTGTATCATCCCAGGGTCCACGTAGCGTAGCCCATGATCCAGCAGGGAGACAATCTCGGTCCTCATCTGCGCCGATCTCGCGATCCCAGCGACCGCCTGGTGGATCCCAGGACGTGCCGGAGATCCCGATACCATTTTGACCAGAACATCCCAGGAACATGGTGGGATAGTCCGCGAGTCCTGCTCCTTGATCGACTATCGGTAAAGCCACGGTATACGGAAGGATATCGATGACATCCCATTGACGGGCACCATCGACCTCAACGAATCGGATTTCCGTCTCGTCAGGGTGTTAAGTTTG